TGTGTGTGTGCATGCGCATTCTGAACGCAAAAAAACGCGTAGAAGGCTTAGTCTTTTCCACGAAACGTGAAAAAAAATGAAATTAAACCAAAATTTTGAACGACTTCAAACATCGCCACGTAACAGAAATAAATTTGTTGAGAATATTTAGTTTCCACCTCTTTTCCGCCTACTTTGCAGCTCGATTCATTTGTGCTGACATTTTGGAATTGCTGAACACTGATGGCGCTATTCATTTCGTGTTTCACAGGGTGAAATTTTCTCAGATATTATTAGGCCAATGAAAAAAAAATGCGAGTTAGGGTTAGGGTTAGGGTTAGGGTTAGGGTTTCGTTTCGTGGAAAAGACTAAGCCCGCGTAGAACTCACTCATGCAAAACAACTAGAAGCGCCAAACTCGTTGTTAGTTACACGATTTTAGGGACTGTATATTCTTATGTAATGTTTCTAAGTTTCGTTGGGGATTACTTTGCAAAGAGATCGTTGAAATGATTCCATCTGTTCGTAAAAAGGACGTTTTTAATTTGACGATGGCCTGTGGACTGAGTTTGAAAGGTTCCATCTAGATCAGACGGCTCCCTCTCGTGCCAATCCCCTCCTCTAATATAGTCAATATAAAGAAATGAAAGGGTCACTCTTTGATGAGTGACCGTGATTAACGGTAATATTACAATGTGACATTTGTGTCGATCATGTCTAACATACACGAGCTATTAGAAAACAGCGGCAATGGAATAAGTGAAATCCGTTCGAGCCCGTGGCATTCTATCGAACAGGACACGGAAACGCCGCGTTCTTGTTCTACAGTTGACAATACGCGTGTCAAGTATACGTGTTCGCAGCAGTTGGCGTTGGCATTTTTTGCAAATTTTCTATGTTAATCGGTGTAAATTATGGGTTGTGCAGCTTCTTCTCAGAGTACAAAGCCATTACTTGTGAAACCTGCGAATAGCGGGATTGAACCGCCTATGGACAGGCCTACATTTCAACGTACGGAGTTCTGCCCTGCGCCTGGAGAACCACCAGTATACTACTGGCATGCAACTGTAAAAGTACAGTGACGTTATTTCGTGGATACTTAGAGCTTGAGAAAACCAAAGAACCATAATGTAATATTATTCTGATATGAATGCGTAATATGGTAATAATAGTGGTGTAGGCCAGAACAGTTATTTACTGGTGGTACGACGAAACTCGCTGAACTTTGTGTAGATGGGAGTATGATTGAAGATTTTACTTTTCATCAGTGACCAATCTCAAACTAAGCATGCTACAAAACTTGACTGTATGTTGACAGCTTATGATGGAGAAAACGCAGATTGAATTGAAGAACACAGTAACACTGTATATCAACGGTATCTACGAACACGTTCGCAAAAGTACTAAGTCGTTTGTGCTGTTGTTATACTCTATTGACGTATCGGACATTAACATTGACGTGAAGCATACACAGTTCGAAATTATTCAAGAAATGAAAAGTTTTCGTGTTTTTTGACGCTACTACGATGACCTGTCTCTGTTGGGTGTACATCGTTTCAATGTACGTGGATCGAGATAACATAGTGGTATTTTTTGTTTTTAGTGGTATTTTTTGTTTGTTTTTGTAATAGCAAAAGCCCACAAGAATCTAACCATCTACATATGCAAATCGTATTCAATTCGTTGAATCTGAAACCAATCAGAACATGAGGGCTTTCGCGATCACCAAAACAAACAAAAAATAAAAAATCATTACTATAAAATTCTTATATAAGAAAACATTAAAGCTGCGCATGTACGAGATATATGGGTCTCATATAAACAAAGATGGCGACTTTGACTGTTGCGCAGATCAACGAGTACGAACTGACACGTTTCCAAGCTTTAATTGGGTAATTTTCATGTGATTGGAAGGTATCGAAAGTTACCGGTGGTAATCAGTGCAAGTCGCGCCCAGGTCAAACCTCATACTTGTGATTTCCATTTGAAGAGCGCATTGGATTGTGGGAGAATCAATGTTTATCAACGCAAATGTCGAACATGCGCAGCGCGACGACTACCGCGCTTTAACATAAATATCTTATACGGAGAACATTAACATAATTTTTTTATATGGTAATGTTATGTCAGTATATGGTGAACATTAACATAAATTCCTTATATACTGAACATTAACACATTTTTCATATGGAAAGCATTAACATAAATTTCCTAATTTTCAGCGAGTGACTTATATTATTTATTAGTTGTCTGAGCTCAAATATAATTCCCAAGGCTACAACCTTACATGCCAGCGTTTGTAATTTGTAGAAAACAATTTGAGGTATGACCTTTTATGTACAAATAGCAGTGCAGTGAGCGCCGACTAGATTTGGGTATATAGGTATTATACGTTACATGATACATGTACTATGAATATTGCTAGAAATATCGTGCCTTATGTTGCGCCCTCTAGTGGCAAAAATTGACGAAGAACGGTCAAGACCTCGATATCGTTTTTATCTGCCACTATTAAAGTCGTCCATCAATGATTATGTTTTTGGAGAGATTTTACTATATTTTAGATGAAAAATGATTACACATCTAAAAACAGTGGTCGTTTTGTGTCGGGACGACACCGCCTCCGCTCACTAGAGGGCGCGATTCATGGGAATGGCAGGTCAAAGATTGTCAGCAAAGTTCACGATTGTCTTTCCTTTGATTTTTTGCTCAAATTTAATTGCACATGCCTTTGAATCGTGTTGCCGTGCGCGAGGATTCGGTCGGATTTGCCCTCTTTCCGAAAAGAGGCGAATTCACGGTAAATCACAGATCACTGGACTACTCAACTTATCCATGTTGTCTCTTCTGTGGAGAGACTCTTCATTTAGTAGTAAATGTAGACTCGTATACAGTCTCTTGTTTATTCATTATAAATGGCCAATTACACTCCCACAATATTTTATTTTATTGAGAAAACAACGACAAATGAACTAGAGACTGTATACAAGTGTATATTAAATAGTGTGACTAAGTGCTATGTTCGCCTTTTTTTTATCAGTAATCTGGCGTGCCTGCATGCCAGAACGGGGGGGGGTATCCTCTCTTTTTCATATTGTCAAGCATAAAACAATTTGTGGGGTAGAAGAAAATTCACTTCTTTTAGAAACCTGCCACTTAGGTATTCATCTTGAGAAAAAACAATAAACAACACTAAAAAAGGTGTAAAAAAAAAACGTCTTAACACGTTTAAATATGAACGAAAATGCATGTGACAATGTGTGGAGATCAGCTTTTAGAAAAACTCAGAATTAAATTTATTTGAATCATACAGTAGAGAAATATCATATGAAGATAATCAATGTACACAAGACAAAAAAACTACTTACATATAGATTATTAAAAACAAAGTTTAACCAAAGACACTAGTGTCTTTGGTTTAACATTATAAACTTCTGTTTTACACAAAGGTTTCAATTACTAGTATATTCAAAATGGGGACTATTTCGTACGAGTTTTAGCTGGATTCGGTTTATTTTTGCGACACGTGTACAATTTATTTTCAAGAGATCACCATCGTCATCACCACCTCCCCGCTGCCATTGATTCTCTAACGCCCAATTTTTAGTTGATATTATCACCGGGGATATTGTACAGTGATTGACGTCAACAAAAGGCCGATACCAAGAATTCAATATCGCCCCAAATGATGTTTTTCGGCTTTGGCCATTACTAGTAGCACTGACACCACTTCATAATAAAAGTGAGGTTTTTTTTTTTGTTATTTGTGTGTAAGATGTAGGCGGGGAAGGGTTGGGCGATTGGGTTATGAAAGATGTAGACAGCATTGAAAACTCATATATGCTATGAGCCTGTGAGCCCCGCATACGTAGACGTCCGCCTCATGTAATCCATATGATTGATTTCATAATAGGGGTATACGGCGTTAGTACCTGTGAGTGCAGCATCTGTTAACACGAACAAAGATGAAATGAAATTCATTGTGAATTTATTCACCACTGTCATGATAATATTTTTACATACGCTTTGCTCCATTCGAATAAATAAATACTTGTATTTTATCATATCCATTTTAAAACGTTTGAACCTAGTTTAAAGGGTGCCGCGTCCTGTTCGATATGGGACTCATGGCGACGTATACAACGCGTGTACAATACATTGTTTATTTACATGAAATTCGAACACGCGCTGCGCGACGACCACCGTGCTTTAAGTATTTCAGTTCATTTAGTAATGTTCGTAGATAGTTTCTCCCCAGTTTTGGTGGTGGTGTTGGTTGTTGTTGTCATTATTTCTCTCAGTATTTGTGGCAATAAATATTATTACTTCGATACGTGTCAAATTATGAAGAGAAATGCACTCACGTAACACCTTTAATATTGTGTAGTCAATTGCGAAGAACGTCGTCACAACATGTAGCTGTATACCCCCCCCCCCCCGACAATGATTAAATCTATCTTGTAACTAAGAATTGCGTTAGTCGTCAAGGCCGTTGACCCATTTGGTGGCAGGGAACAGAACGGCTGTATCGGCGAGGAGTGAATAATTTTAAGTTAATTTAACCCGATTATAACACATGTTACAACTATCTACAGCCAATGTTTGGTAGTACATATCCGTATTCCATTTTTAAAGGTTACTTTCAATATATTGTGAAATGTGGGCGTGGACATCATATTGTGGGGACTTTAGCGCACTTTCTAACTAACTTCCGTGAACATTTGTAAGGGCATTTTTCATTGGCCTGCGTATGTTGAATCTTTAGCATAATCAAGAAATTGTAGCCTTGACGTGTATATCAGTACTTCAATATTTGCTCGCATTGACATCCATCAGCCTCGGGTTCCTGTCGTTAAATATTTTCAGAAAATTCAATGAAATGAATCAAAGTATTACAATATTACGAAAAGGGGCTCGTCCTGAACTGACCAATCAAATGTGCTGTTTGTCCATACTATGAACTCGTCTACACTACGCATGTGCAAAAGGGTCAAATGTCTCTCGCAAACACATACACAATTTTTGCGTAATTGTGATCGTCCAGAACACTGCTCTTTTCGCCGCTTTTCTGTCCTACAATCGGACATTTTGTACCTTCAGGGTCTGTGATACAGTAAATAGTGGTCGGATCTGTATGTTTTTGATGCCCTTCAAGTGCGAATCTACACAATTTTATTGCCACTCGCGACTTGAAGGCAGTGCAGTGTACTGTAATATTTGACAACCGAGCTCGCGCTGTTGAAGAGGACGAAGAAAAAGTTCGAAGAAAGAAATATTCGCAACATTTCTGCGTGAAGGTAAATCCAGCTCTGAAGTAGGATAAATATATAAATCAGTTATTCGACTGAGTCAAGCTGCCAACAGTAAAGTTGTGTGATCATTTGACCCACAAACATGTACCGACTTAAGACGTTAATGCAGGCTGTGAGACCTGCTTTAGTTAAGGAAAGGACTACATGGAGAATTGGTGCCCTTGGGGTGCCAAGGAGACGATATGTGGCTCCTTTAGCCACAGAACCTTTTTTAAACGGGACTAGTACTGCGTACGTGGAGCAAATGTACGATCAATGGTTGGAGGATCCCAGCAGTGTTCATAAGGTGAGTCCCGAAACAGGTCGCACGTCCAAGCACACGTCATATTTCATTGCTATGACGAGCTACGTTTTGTGTTGTCGCCGGTGTCCTGGACGTTATGGTGTTCTCTATTTATAAAATGTATAAAGACAAACGAATTTTGCGTAATGTTCATGCTGATGATCCGGTGGTTGTAGTTTTATTTCTGTATCTGAGGTCACTTGAAGTTCAATTAGTTGGTTCATTTTTGTCATGTTGTTCTCACGTACATACATTACGAGAAACACTATAAAACTAAATGTACAGTATTTAAAATAATATAGTCTATTGACGTATTCCAAGCTGTGGTCAATATTTAGAATAATGCAGATTAGTTACTATTCATAATGTTAAACTAGATCAGCTACATAGTAAAAATATTTTCCATATGGGCTACAACAATAGAGCATGAGTATTCAACAGTGATAAACAACCTCAATAACCTATACCTAGTTCAAAAATTATACAAGATATTATCAGTTGCAATTGAAAAGCTGAACATGATGTATAACATACTAATGTTGTAAAATGTTAAACCAGAATTTTGAATATTTGTTTTAAAAGTTTTTATCACACAGAGATTTATTTACAATCAATTTAATTAGCTGATATATTTTATGTAAAGTACATGTAGCCTTGAACCAATAACATACATGTAGTATGTGCCTTATAAATGATATGTTCAGTGCAATGATTACAGTATTCACAATATATCCTGCTCGGAAGATGTTTTCAAATATCTGAATGTTACCAATCATGTATGTAGATTTGGTTGTCTTGTGTTTTCAGCATTATCAGGGCATCATCAAGTCTATTGAATCACACATGAAATGCTCCTACTGGTGTTTTTAATGCTGCCTTCTTAATTATTCAGTGTAAACATTTTTTCTTGTCTTGTTTGATGTCCCTTTCTTCTAACTTTATATGAGATCTCATAATTTCTTTTGTCCAAGTTGAGTTCTAACTTAAAACATTTTGTAAATTATTGTGTGGAGCGAGTTTCAGGCATGATTCAAAAGTGCATTGCAATTTTGGATTTTAAGTTGTCCAGATAACAAAAAGTTAGTTAGGTTCTGACAGGCAAAACTTGTGAACTACCAATTTGGATTCATGGCTCATTTTACTACATACAGGTACATGTTAAAGGCTTTAAAATACACAGAACTTTTCTGGCATGTGCCTGACCATACATGTGCATGACAATACATGTGCATGACAATACATGCACCTGCATTCAAAGAAACAACAGCTTTGTTCGGATAACATATCTATTCCATTAAAACATTGGTTCATCACAAAGAATATTTTTATCAAATAAAAGTTAATTCTAAAATGTTTCTAGTAATGGGCTAATATAAAGTAAGTTTAAGCAGGTAATGTTATTTCACTTTCTCCTAGTGGTGCTACAGGTTTAACAGATTATTTTTGGAATACACCCATAAGTTATACATAATATTGGAGTTACCTAACAGTCATGTTCTGGTCATCAATTTGTCAAATGAAGAAATTCATTTTATGCGTGAAACATAGCTTATTTGCATAATAAAATGGAAAGTTGCCTAAGGCTCAGTTTTTGCTAAGGGAGCAACAGTTTTTGCCACTGTGGTAATTCTACAAATGTTATTTTTAACCAAACAATTATCTGTTTCGCCACTCTACAAATAATATTAGCCTTCTGATCAAAATCTCAGGAAAACTGATGAGGAGTAATGAAATAAAAAAAATGAAATGTTTGGTCTTATTCACCTCACTGGGAGGGACGTACAGTATGGCCTTCATCCAACAAACAATTGTGTATTTTATTGTATTCAAGTCATTCATTTTATGACTGCATCTACCATTTATCATGCTCATGCCAGATCCTTAATTCTGCATTTTACCGCAGCACTAGTGAATAACTTTATTAAAAAATTATCTTGCAGACATGTCAGGTGGTCTGTTTGTGTTTTCCCATAGTAAGCCTAGTTGTAGGGTCTATGGAGTCTAAGTTTACCGTGTTAGTTAAAATTTGTTGCACGAAAACTGTACTGTTCATTTTTACAGCAGCCACCTCCTCATGTAAAATTTACCTGCCTCGCTTGAATCAAGTAGATAATTTGATTCCTGCGTGGTTTGTTTAGATAGATGATTCTTTACCCATGATGAGATGTTCAGCATTGATAACATTACATAGATTGGAGTGGCAAAGGTAAATGACTGTCTTTGTGTTATATAAATTGTACTATCATAACACTGAAACAGTAAAATGAGGTCTTCATGATACAACTGTTTTCCCAAGTGACATGGCCTTTGATAAAATGCTAAATCTAATTACATGTAAAGCCATGGTTCATTTTACAGTCACATCTTATGTTTATTGACTTACCGGTATATATGCAAAGCACACAATGAGAGTCATTTTGGTTTCCCTGTGAGTGTGTGTGTGTAGGAAATATGTGTACTTGTATATGTCTTCTGTCTTTTACCTCCATGGTTTAAATGATTTCTAAAGAACAGGTTAGTGGACATAGACGTGCTAGAACAATGTGTGCAAATCTGTATTTTTCATGCGTTACTGTATAATCTCTTGTTCAGGCATCAGGAAATATTGAAAGGCCTTAATTTGGTTCTAAAATAGGCGTCACGAAGTGTTGAACAAATTATAAACATAATAATATATAATTTTAATACACATGCAATAATTTTTTTAATTTTGTTGACAACAAAAAGTATATTCTAAAAGAAGTTTCAAATAAAAAAAATACGAATGCATTGCATAGTAGCAAATGATCATAGTACGGTAGTGCAATCCGGTCATGCTGCATTTCACAAATGAACAACTTACTGATATTCAAAGTGTTGCAATTGTTGGTTATTACTCAGTAGTGATTACAATAACGTACAAAAAATAAATTTTTGAATTATTATGAAATGCAAGTAAAATTCAGCTTAGTATCATTGTAAGCAAATAATTTTGGCCGCATGTAAACGCTTGATGCAATACAATATCCGCCATGTTTTTTTCCATACAAAAGTTGACCTGAAAATATTCTTTGACCTGATAGATCAAGTTGCTAATTAACCAATCAAAATGCTGGATGGTGTCAACATGTTTGCATTACCATGGCTCATTCAAATGTTACCAATGACTACATAAACCTAAATCTAACTTGGACCCCAATCTAGGGATCAGGAAATATTGAAATGTTCAAAAAATGACTAAATTACAGATTATACGGCATTCAACTTTTTAATAACTCAAGTACTACTTTGAGTTTAGGGTTAAAAAAGTATGTGCTTATTAGTTGCCAATTTTACATAAATTGTCAAATTTTAAGGTGTTCTACAAATATTGCTAGAATCACTCATCAAATTTTAATGAAATTCTGTCACCAGAGGCACATTTTCACAATGAGGTGTTTATTTATGTTTAACAAGCTCAATTAATCTGCATTTTACATGTAAGCTGGAACAATAAATCATGTTTTTTTTCACTGATGATATTATGTTTTATGTAAATTACCAGCAGATGCGCAAACTTAGTAAGGCAGCAGCAAATTTACATGAACTGAAACTGGAATTTTTGATGTTGGTTTCATAATAGTGATTTTTTTATGGTATGAATTATACATAATTGTAAGCAATTATTAATATTGAACAATATATTGATGGTAGTATATCTCATTTTAATCAACTAATGGATTTCATTGTATACAGTAAATCGAATATATATACAAAAAATGTAACTATGCATTATGGTAACTAGCATGCAAATTATTATGCAAATTAGCCACAACCCTGAGACAATTTTCTGGGGAGAACACTGCAACAAAGACAGTTATAGCTGGAGTATCGACCGACGTGCAGCGGAGGTCGATACGTGGCGTACTGTCTGAGTGCATACTTTGAGGTATCCTCGTATTAACTTTATTATTATACATCTTTTCCTTCCAAGGATACACCATGGGAATGCCGAAATTCAAAATGTTTAGAACAGAATCAGCAAACTTCTTTGTGTGTAGTCCAGTCAAACTCTGGTGGCAGCCATGTTTGTTTTTTATTGTTAGAGGACGCTTACATGCATAATCATTCCATATTTGAAATTCGCATTTTGTTATATGGTAGGATGAAAATACCCATTAAACTACGGCAAAATTACGAAACGCTGTAACTTATGGCGTTACGGTGACAGATGTATAATAATACTTAATAACAACAGCAACAAACAATGCTGTTATTTTATCTTATGATGGGATCTGGTACTTGCCAACCAGTTACTGCGCATGTGTGGAAAAATGATTGGTGCTGTATTTGTTGTTAGAGGCACATTCCAATAGAAAGACATGTAAATTATTAAAATATGATTTACTATGCACTTAGAGGCACCTGTAAGCACATGAGATACAAATGTACTAATATTAACCAGATATCCTGGCTAGAAGTTGAAGAACATTACATAGCATTTCAGTTAGCATTTGAAAAAACATTGGCATTGTTTATGTGCTACTGTATTTGCCTATATCTAAGCTTTCAGATAATATAGATTATTATTATAGTAGCATACTTAGTTTAGAGGATGTCCAATTACAGAACAATTTTTAAAACATTTTACCCCTGTTGCTATCTTAAAAAGATTTTAAAATAATGTGAAAGAAATGTTCCCAATTTCTATGAACAGATGCTATTTTAATTAGAAACATTGAAATCACAGACTGCTTGGTTACCAGAACTGTGGAATTGTAATGAGTTCATTAAATGCTTATTTATTTTATTGTCATTTCTTTTATTCATCTGACATT